TTACTTTAGCAAGATTAAAGTTTCCGTGGACAGCTCAGTGGTTCTGTACACCAGTGAAATGAGGAAGAGCAGTGATCTGCTATTTGTTTTAGAAATCTTATGGTACCAAATGTGGAAAGAGGGTTTGGGAACTGAAGAACCTTTGTGGTTTTGCTGCTGCTTTCAGTAGGTCAGTGAAGAGAGAAGTGTTTTGGCTCTGCCAGTCTCTGGCTTTATGGCAAGCCTCAGCAGAAGCCTGTGAAACCTTGTAAGAGAAGTTAGAGGTTTGGATGCTTTCTAAGGTGAATAAGCACAGCTGGCCAGCTTGCTTGTTTTCCAGTTTGACTTTCAGAATTGACTTCCTTGTAAACGCACTGTGGTTGGGATACTTGTCACTTGAGTCATGGCTACTTCTGCATCTGCAAAGAGCAGTTCAGAAAGTCAGGACTCTGGCATGGTGAGCAAACTCAAGGTTAACATAGGCTGCAATGTTTTATGTCCAGAGCAAGGAATATCAACTTTTGGAGTCTGAGGACAGGTGTGTATGTATATGTAACCACAAAACTGACGTGGATATACTTATTATTCCTCTTTTATTTTCTGGAACCTCTGTCCATTTTAGCTAGATGAAATTCAAAGAGTTAGTTAGAAGTTGTGTGTTTAAAGTTACTATTTTATTACAAGCTGGACAGGATTGAGTTCAGCTGCAGGGCCACCTTGAGTGAGGCTGTCACCAGAAAGTAATATTTCTCGTAAGACTTGCCTCATAGAGGTAATCTAATTAAGAAGTCACATGAGGAAAATAATTTGGAGTGCAGTTGGAGCTGAGATGTTTGGATGTGTGGTGCACTCAGCCAGTCCAGGAGTTGGAACAATCTGTTAGTGACCATGAGCATAATTCGATTAATTTTAAACCCAGTTCCTTCAGAAACAGATGCTTTAGTGCCTCTCTCTCCGTTTCATAAACTCGGTTTCCTTTTGAATACATTTCAGCTCATTTAGCTAAGAGGAAAAGTAATTGGTGGAAAAGTATTTGGAAATAAATTTGCCTTCTGCAGCAATGGATCAGCTTCCAATTTTCAGTTCCACAGCACTTACAAAGAATCTGGGCCTTTGTGAATTCTACAAAGAAAGTAAGATAAACAGATTTTTTTAGTTACTGTATTTCTTATCCACAGAGACCAGGCTTTTCCCTAAATTATTTCCAAACTGTGAAATCTGCTGCTCTGCTTAGTACTTCCTGTGCTAGAAAAACAAAGCTCTTTTGTTAGTGTTATTTTTCAGCATATCTTGAGAACTGTATTGCTGGTTTACTGAGTACCGCTTTGGGACATTTTATCATCTCACTCGTGCTAATTACTTCAGTATCTTTTTGTTCAGAGTGCAGCCCAGAATATTTCTCACAGGCAGTCCCACTGCTTCCCTTCTTCTTACCCCAGTGTTTTGTGCAATCAGCCACGCAGTTTTTGGAGTGGTGGATTGCAAAACTAAAGTGTGAAGGAAGTGCAGCAGTAGATGTTCGTATATTTGGCCCTGGTCAACTGTTTTGGGGCAAACTGAACAGTCTTAATATGCAATCAGCAAAAAATCCTACTGGATACTTATAACCAGACAAAGTAATTCTTGCTAGGAGAGGGTTGATTTTGTAAGTCTTTTGGTTGCAGGTCTAATGTTGCATTAATGTCAAGAGTTTACCGTGAATGTGCTTTATGTTTTTAAATAGTAAGAAAGGAAAGGGAATCCCTATGAGCTGCTTTAAGGGTTTAAGAACATATGTGCCATTAAGGACACGAACAGGAATTCTCTTCCAGACGGTGCTTGGTCAGCGCAGTAAAAGCTGTGGTTACTTGTGCTGCTGCTGCACACAAAGCCACCGGACTTGCTGCAGTGTATGTGACAAACTCCCAAATTCTCCCTCACTGGCTCTGGTCTGAGCCAGGGAACCTCCGGCAGAGAGCTGGTGGAAAGCAGCAGCAGTGCAGGGCCCAGTAGCCTACACCACTCTTGCAGTTTGCTAGGTCAGCGCACATCTGACACCAAAATACTTTCAATCTCTTAATGTGGTGATATTCTGTCAATGACTCAAAGCTGCCTGGGGAGTCTCAGGTTTTCTCTGCCCGATGTTCTGCCGTGAAACCAATACAAACAGGTCTTGATCTTTAATCTTTTCATTTAAGCTCATCTTGTCGGTCTGATATTTCTCCATGTTCTTTTCGACTCCAGCCATGAACACTTTCCACATGGAAAATGGCAGACTTGGTGTGTTCCAAGGTTTAGTTCTCAGTTGCCTTCTCAGTTACTCGTTTTTCTGAATATGGAAGCACAAATAATTTTTAAAATGGGGGAAAAAATGTGTCTTCTTGACACTATTCAAGAACAGCTAATGGGTTTCAATTTGAATGTCCAGTAACGTTTCTTCTCTTCCACACAGAAAACTTGTCTTGCAAAAGCTAATTTTTCTAACATTCAATCTGGAAATAACAGTCTAATGGTGAGGTTATCACTGAAACTCTAGTACAAACCTAAATACAGTGCTCGGTGCCAACAATTGCAATAATTAGCTAGTGGGTACCACACAAAACAGACAATAAAGTAATTATAAATTATGACTCGGTGATTAAGTCATTAACCCAGACACTTGGCTGGAACCACATGAGCTCTTGCTTTGTCTTCTGTGTTTGGCCATCTCTGGAGAAAATTCTTCTTCAAGGCAAAGTTCTCCTTAAAGCCAATTATCCATCCTGGCACTGTCTGGGAAAGGTGAAGACATTTTCAGCTGCTGGGTCTGATTATTATCTTGTGAACCTTTTCACTCATCAGCTCTTTCTAAGCAGGAATGTCCTTCCTCATTCTTTATATACTGGTGAGTTTCCTTTCTAGGTATATTTCAAGTATATTTTTGCTAGTCTTGGCTTATCTACGTGGTTTCTCTGTAGCTGATATCTCACTAGGGTAAATCTAGAGGATATTTTGTAAGGAACAAAAGTAATTCTGGTGCTTTTTGTGATATAAAGGAGACTTAAGTTGTGTGTCAGAAAGGTAGTAACTACCATTTTATTTTTATTGAATGAAGACTGTTAACTCCACAGTACATGTGCTCTGGGAAGTCCACAATGTCCAGAAGTCCTTTATTTTGATTTATTGCCATAGTTCCACCAGACATCATGGGAGAGGAACAAAATGTCTCGGTGCTCGTCAGCCAAGCAGTGGAGCTGCTCTGCCAGAGCAATGCTATTCCCCCTCCTGTGCTGACGTGGCTCAAAGATGGACGACCCTTGCTGAAGAAGCCAGGTCTTAGCATCTCTGAAGATGGAAGTGTACTGAAGGTGAACTGGGCAGTCGGGCTCTGGGGGTTATTGCTTTCTGGGGAGTAGACCCACCATGAAGTCACTCAATAATACCCATTAGAGTCTGAGTAGTAGTGTGCCCTCTGGTGCAGTGGAGGGTAGTGGGTGAGGAGTGAGGGAGGTCATAGACGTCTAGGTGTCTCTGTACCCATTTTGCTGGAGTAATACTGTATTATTAATATTTAGAGAGACAGATGTAAAAATAAAAATTGAAACCTGCGCAACTTCTCCCTGCAATTTTCATGTATGATAATATAAGAAGAAATCCAGGTTTTCGTTTTCTTCCTAGGTTGAAGGAGCTCAAGTGCAGGACACTGGCCGTTACACTTGTGAAGCAACAAACATTGCTGGGAAAACTGAAAAGAACTATAATGTCAACGTTTGGGGTAAGATGATGAAGCTTTTTCCAGGATCGGGAATGGAGCTCAGAGTGAAATAGTGTTGTGAGACACTAAAATCCTCTGTAGTCCATAAATGCTTAATTGCTGAGGTTCATGCTGGGAGGTGTTATTATAGTTGCTGTAGTTTCACAGTACCAAGAAAGTCCACACATTTTTTAAATTGCTTTGGTTTGGCTCTAAATTAATACCAGCTACTCTGTAGGACTTTTTCAGGCTGGATAGTAATAGTGATAGTTTTGAACTGTAACTAACTGGTTCTGTATCCATAGCTCCTATTTGTACACTCTCATGCAATTTAAAGTAGCCTACTGAATTTCCACTTTGTTTAAACACTGAAACATGGACATTGAGGTTAAAAAAGCTAGGTTACCTTGCTTTATTTGCTCTGCAAGGTTATCAGCACTGAATCATAAAAATAGCTCTAGTAAAATTTTATATGGCTAGATGATGAATGAGGCTTAAGACATTTATTTTAGTGATGGATTTTGAGTGTTTTTTCTGCGCCATCATTTACTCCCCATATGCAAATTTAAATATGCCTTAGTACAAATTAATTTCTTGGTTTGAAATCACTCATATAACAGGGTTTGTAGTGATAGAACTACAGTTCTTAACACAGAATTCTGTTGTTATTTATTAAAAAGAAAGATTTCTGGTATTTAAATTAGAGGTGGGCATTGTAGGACCATGCTATTTTCCCATGCAAAAGCATTTATCATTTCCTGTGCATATCATATTCAGCTCTCATCTCTCCCTCCCCAGATCTGTAAGATCTGCAGTGTTGCAGAGGACCTTCGGTGCTGGAGGGATATGGATTTGTTCTTCTGTACAACGAGACTATTTCAGTAGGATTTTGAGAGGAGGGATAATTCTTTGCTAGTTATCAGCTTTGATGGAATAAGCTGAATAGAAACCAAAAGTTGCCTGTGAAAGCCATCTGTGGCTCACTGTTTAGAATTACAGCCTTTGTTTACACCCAGGGATCAAAAGTCCTGCTTGCCATATTTTTAAGTTTTCAGTCAAGGAAACGACTCCTTCTGAAGACTGGTGAGATCCTGGGAGCTAACTCTGGTTCCAGGAACCAGCCCATGTGTTAACTGTAAGATGAACTTTTTGACTAGAAGCAGGACAAATGAAAGGTGGAGGCCAGCACAGTACAGTTATACAGTACAGTACAGTTAAGCCCTTTGCCGTCAGTTGCTCTGAAACCCATATATCTGGTTGCTGCTAAGTAAAGAGTTTTGATTGTCAAAAGGAGAAGCTGTCTACTGTCACATGCATTAAAAACATGATGGATAAGTTATTCACCAGCAAAATTTTATTCACCAGTTTCAGCCTACATTCTCTACTGCTTTTGTTGGTCTCTTTTCAAGTGTTACTTAGGCTATTTTCATTAAAAGAAAGTGGTTTTCAAGCAGGCAATTATCCCTTCCCTAGTGACTGAACCAAAGTTCTTTAAGACTTGGAGAATTGGAGGGAAAACTGTGGTGCCTTTTGTCTGCGAAACTCACTGGGTTCCAGTCACGGAGATGTAGAGCAGAGCTGGCACTGTGCTACTGTAGGGCAGTCGAAGGGACAGGGTCCCTAGCATTGGATGTGGTAGCCAGTGGATGATGCAGGAAAAATTCAAAGGAAAAACTTAGGTTGAATTTTAGAAGTCCCTTTCAACCTAATGATGATATCTGTAGGTTTATAAGCTAAGGCCATGAACGAGGCAGACTTGTAGAGTTGGAGTCAGTTTACATAATTCACAGAATTACATTCCTATAATATATTCGCATAATTCAGAATTATGTTCACAGAATTAAGTTCAGTGAAGTCCATCCAAATATCAACCAGAAACAGAGCCTCTGCATGCACCGGCCTTCAAAGGCTGGAGGGACACAGGCAGTCACTCACAAGTATATTATTCCCTCGCCTGGGTCTGGTTCACATTGTCAGCAAGAGAATCCAATCCTGGGAACCGCTTCAGAGCATAATGGGACAAATTTGTATGAGGGTCATTTGGGTCTTACTGTTGGCTGGTAATGTTTTGTCTCAAATGCTGCAATTATTTGGCATTTCTTTTCAGTGGCACCAAGTATTTATGGCTCAGAAGACATCTCTCAACTGACAGTAATTGAAGGGAGCTTGATAAGCCTGATTTGTGAGTCTAGTGGCATCCCACCACCCAGTCTTACCTGGAAAAAGGATGGTAGGTAATTGTCCATTGTCTGTTTTATAAACCAAATGTGATAATTTCGAGGTCCCTTCCAATTCCTAATATTCTGTGATTCTGTCAGTGTTTCTTTTTTCTGTGGATATTTTAGATGGTGTGTTCTAAGGAGTTCAAGCATGCAGATAGGTAAACAGTCCTGTTACTAAGTAAAATGAAGTACAGGAATAAATTATTCCTTTCTCTCTAACTCACCTCTGCTTGGAGTAGAGATCACTATTCCTGAATGTGTGCAAGAGAAGCGCAGTGCAGAGATTCCTGAGCCAACTCAAAAACGGACTGTGAAGCACTTAGCCCCCCCAATGTCCTTATTTACCACAGTGCAGCAAGGCAGCGTCACAACTTGTTCGTGGATCCCAGCCGGCAGAGCTGTGAGTCACTGAGAAGCCCTGTGATCTACGGAATAACACAGACCTGCTCTCCAAATTTGCAGCCATTGCATACTGCCAAGTGATGAAAACACATCCAGTTGTAGTAATTACTTCTGGGATTTACTGAACCTTTCTCTCATCCCATCGTAATATTTAAGAGTAGTCTGCACATCTTTTTGCTTTAGGGGTTAAAGTAACATTAACAAACACCTTTTGACTCAGTAGACATTCTTGTAAGCATGGACACTGCTGGAGACAGAATCTTAGACAGAATATGATGTTGAACTCTTCCAGTGTGGTAACTCTTGTGTTATTAATCAGTGTTACCTATTAATCTGTGTTTTTATAGATGGCACAATCCAGTGTGGTATGTGCCTACCTTAATTAATTTTAGCTTGTGGAAGGAGTAGATTTTAATTACAAGACACTTTTTCTAATGCATTACATTTTCAGTGAAAATGAAGTTTTTCAAGTTATTTTGAAACTCTGTCTCTTGGAAGCCAAAAGGGCATTATATGACGTGTTCTGAAAGTGTACTGCAAGGCTAAAGTGCACATACTTGAATGGCAGAAAGGAAACTTAAGCCTGTTGGAAAGGCAGGTGGCAAGTAGTACAGGTTAGATTGCTAATCAGCAGCCAGATTGTTCATCACACTTGACGTTTGGTGTACTTCATAGAGAGGATGTTCAATGAGCAAATGGGAAATGACAGTTCAGCTTGTAAGAATCACCAGTGACGGGTGTATGCCTTCTGCCGCAGTCTCCCTGCAGTTTGCAAAGATGGAGAGTCGCCTAACCTGAGGTCTCCAAGATTGAAAGTTCTGCTCAGAGAGTGCAGTGTTATTTTGCTGTCATGTTTCTGCTGGGGATTTCCTGGGCAGAAGTCTGCACGTGTGCTGTGTGACACAGGACAAGCAGATGGGTCTGGCTGTGAAAACTAAATTGTATGTTATATAGTTATATATATATTCCTAAGAGTTCTATTTGCTGGGTGAGACAATGAGTGAGATTTTACTAAAAGTGTTGAATTTGCTGCTTAGTGGAAGCGTCCAAAACTGGATAGATGTGAATGTGGTGAGAGTTACTGTGCTTCAGCTCAGGTTGCTGTAATTGCTGTGAAGTCAGCAATTGAAATTGAGAAGCCCTCAGAATCTGCTTGCCTGAAGTTTCTGGGAAAGCTTTGTCTATTGTTCTAAAATGGACAATTGTGCAACTCGGTCATTTGTAAATGAGCCAGGGGACTTTACGTACGAGCAAGCTTATTACCACTGTGTTTTTATCTGAAAGAATGTCTCTTGCAGGCTCTCCACTGATGTCTGACCTGTCGGGAAGGGTGCGGATATTATCTGGAGGCAGGCAGCTACAGATTTCAATTGCTGAGAAGTCTGATGCTGGGTCTTACACTTGTCTTGCTTCAAATATAGCTGGAAGTGCCAAGAAGGAGTACAGTTTGCAAGTACACAGTAAGCTACCATGAAAAATTCTGCTCATACTGCAGTAGAGTTACATTATGAAAGTGTTTTCAGAACAGTGATGTTAAGCTGCAGGATTTTCAGTGTGTAATATCTAGCTATAGGACAATTAAGGATATTCCCAGGAGAATGATAACTAGTTAAAATATTGGCAATTTAGACTTGAGGGTTGACGAAGATGCTGACTATACCTGTTGAAAGCACATCTGATCACGGGTGGTTGCAGTGATGTAACCTCTTTAGCTAGTGTAAAGTTACTTGCCACCAAACTGTACTAGTGAGGACAACTAATTCAACTTAGATTTTACTGATACTTCTCTGTTTTAGTCATGAACAAAAGAAGATACATATAAACACTTCCATGAAAGAAAACATCCTTAAAAATCTCTAGGGATTGGCAGCATTTAGGGCAGTCTTTTCTAATTTATTTTTTTCTCCTGTTTGCATTTTAAAAATTACCTGTAAGTTACACTTTAAGAAGACCATTTTTACACTGTAGGGTGGAGCAGGAAGAGGGGTGGCTGTTCGATTTTCCTTGTTCATGTGGAAGACGCTATGAATTGCAGAGTGCCTCTGACTGACTTGCCAGCAAAGTTTGGTCTTTATTAAAATGATTTGACAAACTTGGTGGTTATTTTTTTCAGAAACAGGGGAAGATCCTGAAATGTAGCTTCCAATCGACTTCTAACCTGTGTTTCTTTTTCCTTCCTAGTTCGCCCAACTATATCAAACAGTGGTAGCCACCCATCAGAAGTTGTCGTCACCCAAGGAAATGAAATTTCCTTGGAGTGCAGGGCGCAGGGCATTCCGGAACCAGCAATAGCGTGGATGAAGGATGGCCGCCTGCTGGCTGCTGGAAGGGACATAGCCATGCTTCACGGTGGTCGCTTTCTTCAACTGAAAAATGCCCAGGTGTCAGACACCGGCCGCTACGTCTGTGTTGCCGCCAATGTGGCGGGACTGTCTGACAGAAAATACGATTTAAATGTTCATGGTGAGTATGTGCAGCGGAAACAAATCAGACTTTTAAATTCACCCAAGGATATCCAAGAGATGGTTCTGTTGCTAAATGCACCACCTGTATCTATCTTACATGGGATGCAGTTTCAGTTGCAGTGTTACAAATATCCACATCCCATTTTATAACTCCTGGATATTTTAATGTCTTACCTCTGTCCCTGTTAAGATCAATCCACCCCCAGTTGCTTTATCTCCTGAGAAGAGAAAACCAAGATATGCTATAATTTTATATGATATTGGGACGAGTGTTGTTTGGGAAGTATGCTATTGAATGAGATAGAAATCAAGAGTTAACCAAGAACATCCTGCTAGTGGCCACACCAGAGGACAGGTACCTGAGTGAGGGTGTCCAGTACCTCACATGTCTGCTGATCAGGTTCTCTTACTTTGCACAATCAGAAGAATTCAAACATGGTACCTCCAACTATAATTCATCTCCATATTTGACTTGATGGTGTGGATCAGAACATAACATTATCTTACAGCCTGTGTAATGCGTTTGCATGTGATTTTTTACACTTTATTGAATG